ACAACCCATAAGACAGAAATCTTCTATATTGTTATACTGCAGGGCTACGTGACCCAACATGTTTTCGTATGTACTGAAGTAAATTGCGCGTATATAATTAATTACTGCTTAGCGCAAATTTATGCTATCTTGTTTTTTTTCTTACGCAAAATACGGTTGACATCTGGAATGGAAAAATTCGTTGTATGAATATTTTAGTAACTTTTTTATTTCTGGCTGTGCATTGAAATGTGAAGAATTCGTATCTTCTTTTGTTTGAGGTCTCGAAACTTTCTAAAACTTAAGTAAAGTTGTTAGAAATTCAATAAACTCTGGTTTCTGTCGTTATCCTGAAAGTACTTATACAGATTTGAATACGTGAAGCTAAAGTTAATTACAGCAAAGACGTATAAACGTTGTGCTGTTGATTCAGGCGGTCAGAAGCTACCATAAATACGTCAAGCAAAATTGGAATGTTTGATCACATTTGGATAAAACTTCTCATTATTAAATTCCATAAAAGGCCGTACATCCTTCCTGGAGTTGTTTTATACGTACATCCAGACGGGTGGAACACTTTCAATATACGCTATTCAGTGACGCGAAAGCACTTAAAAAGTAAATTAAAATGCTCTGTTTTATTAAACAGAAAAGATAGTGTCAGAAGACTTTGGTACGAACATTTAGGAACGATGATAAATTCAAATATTCCAAGAACACTTTAATAATATCACCCAAAAATAAAGGAAAATGTTCCACATGGTTGGGAAAAAGATACTAATGCAGTCATAAAAATTTTAAATTCATATTAAATTTATAACATTTAATGATTTTATTTTAAAATTAACCACGATAAAGTATTAAAAATTAAGTCTGTAGCTGGGATAAATTAAATAGCCTAATCTGTGATTAAAATAATTATTATATTTATTTACCGTCAAATTACAATAAAATAGTAAGATAAGATAATTAAAATGATTAAAATATCATCTTATGTTCCATATCGAGCATTCGATTTACATCGGAACATTCACAACATTTTTCGGTTTATCAAACCGTCATCAGGTGTAAATTATAAACTTTTAAACTCAAATTACAATTATTTATAGTTTTTACAATTTTATAATTTTATCATCTTTCTCAGTATATTTTATGGAAGTTGTGTCTAGATATTATTAATATAACATTATTGTTGAGGTGGTGTTATTGATGTTTATACCAGTCTGTGAAGTAAAAGATTCGAAAACATTCTTACTATTTTATTGTGATTTGACGGTAAACAAATATAATAATTATTTTAATTAATATCACAATATGACGCAGCTATACTATCTTATCTAATCTGTGATGTCTTTGACATACCAGCTGACCACTTTGAGGGTGATGTACGTTAATAAAGCGAAGTAATTTCGTCATTTCTGACTCAGTATTGTGACACATGTACACACGAGGGTATCCGCAATACTAAGGTAGATGCTAGTTAAATATGTAATTGCTGGTATATTCTCCAGACTGTGGGTCACTATCTGGTAACAATGAAGTTGTGAAAGGAAACTGAACAGAGAATGGACCGTGAGAGAGGTCAATGGTTGTTTCCCAGGAGAAAAGGGAGAGGTTGAAGGACAGAGATGTAAGAACTGCTCCTGATTTGTATGTACTAATGACACACTTCCCGAGGAGAAATTAAGGGCACTCACCGTAACAAGGCTCGAACTAGCGGCTTAAAGTTGATGTGTCATTTTGTGAGAGTCAGTTTGCACATTCTGAAAATCTTACTTTATTTAAATGGGCAAAGTTCCATGATGAATAACCTTAAAATGGTTAGTTACCACAGGAATGTGTTAAATTATATCAAAACACTTTATTTAATTAGATATTTTGCGAAATCCTTAGACAATTTTTCACTTTATTCGCTTTTACAGGTTTGTTTTTAAATATTTTATGTACAGTTTACGACTGTAATCTTGAGACTTGCAAGGAATGTAGGATGTCCGTAGCGTTAAAGGCAGACGTCCTCACCCCGCAAGTCTCAAGATTTCAGTCGTGGACTGTAGTTTTACTGCTGTATGGGCGTATTCTAACACAAACACGGCTTATAAACATTTCTCTATTCAAATGTTTGATATCTTCATCTGCCGATGCTGACATCTGTAGCCTCTCATGTGAATGATGTTATATTATTATAGCCGAAATAGTCACCGGTTGTTAGAGACTAAGGGAAACTGTGGGTGACAGGATTTAACATTTCTAAGAAAAATGAAGTAGCCTACATTTCTTTGAAACGTTTATGGTTCATTGTGGTTACACTGGATTAACCACTTCCCATTTTGAATGTGCACTGCGTAAGCAGCTATTTTACGCTGTACAATAATAATTTCGCGTAGATTTGACTAAGGTCCAACACTACTATAAGAATATTGACATTCCATCATACTACATGACGCTATAACAAAAAGACAGCCATTTTGTGCTCACTGTTGTACATGCGTGTATTTGTATGTTTGTTTGTTTGTTTTTGTTTATTTATGTGTGAATAATAATCTTTAGAAGCAGATATCTGGAATTGTGTTCACAATTTTGTCGAGAGAACTGTTTCATTTTTTTACCTGTAGTTTAATAATTTTAGATTCTAACCTCAAAAATACAGTTTAGGAAGGAATAATCTAAATATTGTAATACATTACGATATTCTTTGTGATAATGATGTTGATGCATAAAATTGCGGACAGTTTAAGTTCAAAATCTGTTCCATATCTGATCCATCTGAATGCAGATCCCAAATGTCATAGTTAAGTATTAGTTTTTCATAGTCTGCGTCCATGTAATTTTTGACTCTTTCTTAACTATACAGAGTGCAAGGCAACTGAGGAGATGGGGATTTATGAATGTCGTTGTACCAACTCAGACTAAAAACCTCTGTTGACTAATCGCGTGCGAAAAGAATGTCCTTGGGCCACCAAATATAATTAAAAAATAAATAAACAATAAGAGTTGCTACACATTTATCTACTGGATACATTTTGTATATACATCGACGAAAGTGTATTACGTGCCGAAAGGAGTCTAGTAAACTAATGCAAAGCAAATAGAATAGATCGGTACTGGTTCCGTCTGCTGTAAGAACGCGTTCAGCCGGACATGCGCAACTTTACTCCCTAATACCCCCTCCCCTTGCTATCTTACCCTTGTCAACAAAAGAACCACTACTGTGCGTACTTCCGTTGAGAGAACACCCTTGGGAATGTTCTGTGAAAATCACCCGACTCGACGTCCGCCAGGTAAATTATAATCTTCTAGGTTGCAGCGCGTTGTAGTCTGGTAGAAGCTTATCAATTTTTCCGAGGTCCTTGCTGCCTCCATCATCAGGGCGACCTCTCTGGTCATAAAGGCTGCCATCTTCGGACTCACCACCGTGAAAACCTCAAAATCCTACTTAATTTATAACCTTGTTTTACTCTCCAGTGTTGGGGGGGGGGAGATTTTTGTTATAGTTTGTTTTGTCCTCCTTGATTTTGCGACATTTTACTGTATATTATTGTTCATCTTTATATATTAGTGTATTTTGTGTTTTGCTATTATTTATATACATAAATTCAGAATGCATGTACAGATATTAATTATGCTAATTAATCTTCCACCTTATAATGTGCCCCAACATAGAAACGGGTTTGCCCCATTAGATCCACGTCCTATATAATTTTAATATGACACAATTTTTAAATAAAAATTTTTCACACGTGTATTAACTGAAGACGTTATGGTGATTTGTGGTTTTGTTTCTTTCCGAATAAAATAAAAACTATAAGACTGCAGATTACGAACGTTAACTGTCAGCCCATTTGTATTGCCAATTTCTGTTTATACGTGAATGTACATAAATTTGTTTATTGGAAAATATGAACATTACGTTCTAAACATCACTGCAACATCAGAGCAATTAATATGTAACCTTGAAAATGCATTGTAAAATAATATTCAGTATCTTAATATTTGTTTCATATGGAAACAAAATTACGACGATTAAGTGTAATACTTTAGTTCTATACGGGGTAATTAATTTTAAGTGTAAAAGTGGGTCCATTCATGCCATATACAGGAACAAAATGCTAGTGGGAAAAATGTTCTTCTGATAGCCTTTCACGAACATCTGAAAGTATTGACTTCGGCTACGCAAAGTAAGCATAAGAAATATAAGGTTGAAGGTCAATGGAGTAGCTTAAAATTCTGCATGAAATTCATTTGTACTGTGAAAGTATTAATTTGGCAAAGGGGTGAAAGTTCAAAGTAAAATGTTTAAACGAATCTGAAAACAAACGGTTACTAGTTTGTATTCCGCCGGATAACTTATAAATGTAAAAAAAAAAAGTTTGGTGTTACAAAAGTGATCAATCGATTTTCCACAAACAAAACTCCCTCTAAAGTTTACATTAATTCCCTCCATGTTGAATATGATTACACTTTTTATTGGTATATTTTTAAAAAAATATACGTTTTCTGTTCAGGTACGCCAGAAGACATTTGTTATACATGTTTTCTCGAACTTCATATTAATACAGAAAATAAGATTTTTTGTGTAGCATCGAAAGAGTTAATTCGATATTAGCTTGCACAGGGGCTGGTGTATTGGGAAACCAACAGCCGGTGGAGTGTTACTATATATGATTTTATAAAGAACTTACCTTTACGATCTACTAAAACATGATCTTTTGATTTATGTTATATGAATTAACCTTTTGTGCCACTGATGAAGACCTCTTGAGGTCGAAACGCCTTTGGCATTAATATCCTACTAGTGTAAACAGTTGTTTGTATGCACATTTTATATTGTCCAAATCACATTAATGAAGTAATGGTTTCGTTCCGAAAATAGTTATTATTCTCATATTTGTATTAATACATAACACAAGCGTTATCAGAGCAATTGATTACGTTCTTGAGTGTGTTAACAGCTGATGCCTTGTTACCTGGTAATTCTCGACAGGAAGAGAAACCAGCTGTTTACGCAAACGTTATGTACAGATGTTAAAGATCTAAAACGTACATTCCTCTTGAAGAGACAAACAGAAATGAGGTTTGAGGCTCTTAACTGTTGTGAATATGTCGACATCGATATTCAACAGCCTCCATCAGAGGACTTAAAACTCTATTTACCTGCAAGTTCACAGGGAGTTACAATGTATAAACCAGCATCGACAACGAAAATGTTGGTTGGTTAATGATTTAGTTAAATGGAAAGGTACGATAATATTAAAACGGAATTTTTCTTACCTCACGATATAGAAGAGTGTTCCCCAACATTTTTGGGTGGAGGAACTTCTAAAATAATTTTTCACATCCTGATGAACACCTGCCAATGAAAACGTTTACGTACAGGTCAGAAGAAGTTTATAGCGGGGATCACAATTCAATAACTGTTAAATTAGCCCGAAACGTCGTTCAGGGCCCATATCAGTTATGATTCAGGCAGTGTGCAGTGCCGAACTTAATACTGGTACAAAATAATGCAATTGACTGTTACTGCGACTGGCCTCTAAACACACTAATTAGACTCCTGTAGAGGAATTTTTAATTTGAACATGAACTAGTTTGGATGTCCTCCTGAATATCCGCTAATTCATGTTAATCGGTTACTTTGTTACGGTGTCCTTATTGTTTAGTGAGTAGTGAACATTCTAGGACAGTATATAACTCAATTACTTGTATCTTTAGTGGGCCATCCGAAGGCCTGTTTGTTTTCAGTGACTTGAAACTTCTTTCAAATAGAGGGCTTTCTGGATCGTAATTCTCACTAGAGATATAATAACATCAAAAAATAACCTCTTTCGTCCTTTCAGCCAAACTTTAATCAATAAATCGTAAGGAGGTTTTCCTCAGTGTAAACGTTTGGCTAAAATTACTTAATATATAGACTCTCGTACAGATAATTCTTTTATATATGAAGGTAGCTGCATGAGTATTGAATACACAGTCGCTGACAGCCGACAGTGGGTAGTCCTTTACCTTGGTGTTATAACTAATAACTTTTCCCGTTCAAATAAGCGTGTTACGAATTGTTATTCAGAGCCTCGAGACTGGTAAATTCTTTGGATCATGTGATTAGATGGGCTGGTCATGCAGTATGTATGAGAGAGGTCAAGAATGCATATAAATATTTTGGAAGTAAAAACTTATGAGTTACCCAGACAAAGGATAAACGAAAATATTGAAATTAGTCATAGAGAAAAGGCTTTTTTTCAAAAAGAGGGCTGTGTTTCCTTGTGGAGGCGGTAATGAACATTCTGATTCAATAAAAAGCGGAGAATTTGACCAACTGAGCGACTATCAGGTTATCAAATAGGACGACTATTCCATAGAATATTTTTATGTTAGCGAGTTAGAAGTCCGTCATGTTCTGTGTTTCAAATGCGAATGAAAAAGGTAGAACCAATAATTTATAACCATGAACAGGCACGAAATCAGATAGTCAAATGGGGCGCACATTACAGACGACCCCTACTGAGCAAATTGCAATAAAGAAATGCAATTAATTTAAACGTCTATTTACATCGCATTGCATTCACTGCGTTGAAATTAAATTTCATTTGACTGCTAATAACGCCTCGACTTAACTTCATTGAGATTGTCAGTGATTACGCTAATCAGTGGCGGAGAACTGGGGGGTATTTTATCATAAATACCCCTACCCTTTGCTACCAGACAAGCAATGATTAATTAATCACTACACGTCGTGATATTAAACGTTTCACAAATGTAACGACGAGTAACCTACCCCAGTTTGAATAGCAGTCACAAGACTAAATGACTTAATTATACATTATATAAGATCAGTCTGGGGTCTGTAGCCTGCATAAATGGAACCAGTGTTAGCCTATAGTTCATTTTTCGTCTATATGTCTTTATAATTTACTAATACCATTTTACAGCGACATTTTTCAAACACTCGTTTAATGTAAGGCTGTTGCATACACATGTACTCTCTCTCTCCCCCTCCCCCTCCCCCCTCTCTCACCCCTTTTCCCCCTCCTCCTTCTTTAAACTTGAGGATTCGACAGAGATGGAACCCCTTGTCACTCTTCGTTTACCTGATAACGGAGACAGAACCAGTCCCCGAAACGTCGTGTTATGAGAAACAACAGATGATGGATAATGTCCAAAAATTTAACCCAAACTATTGCAATACACCATCTTCAATATCCTTTAGAATTATTTTAGCATAAAACGTGTATTTAGGTATATTTTAATGCTACTTTAAATGGATCCTTTTAATGGAAACAGTTTTAAGATTAGCTGGAAGAATGCTGTAAATTGCAATATACGTTTTCTTTATATGACATTATTACAATATTTTCAATTTATGTACTAATAAATAATATAAATACAGAATGAAATGTTACAATGCAAATGCAACATCAATTTAAAAACATGACGAGACTTAATAAACGATTGGCGTTGCTTACAGGATAATTTCATTGCCCAGTATAAACAGCTATTAAGAGATTCCAGTGTAAACAGAAAAACAGCTGACCAAGTCTTTTAACTTTCGTCTTATGTTCTAGCTCCTCGCTCAGTTGGAATATGTCGACTACCAGAGAGCAGTATGGGAAATCTTGAACAAATTAACGAGGGAACAAGTACAAGAAGGGCCGATCTGGCGACAGGTGCAGTTTCTGTCCGTAATCGGGCCCGCAGCTCTGCCCCCCGAACTCCTGGACAGGGTGAGTGTTGTTATACACGCAATGATATTTCCATGGTTCGTCGAAGGATATTCTTTGTTTTGTTATCTTTCGTACTATTTATCTGTCTCCATCTATTTCCGTTCGTAATCTCATCGTGCAATAGCTAAAGCTGGTAGACCCTGGCTTCATATAGGAGAAAGATTCATGGCGGACTAAGTGGTTCTGGAATAGGGATTCCTCAAGGTCTTCAGTATTTTCCCTGTAATCGTCATTTCACCTTTGCTATAGTAAGTACGAGAGCACTTGCGTGTTCTTGGCACGGCGGTGAAGAGCAAGGTGATAAGCACTGCGCGCGCAC